CGGCTCCACTGCAGTTAAAGCAGGCGAGGTCGGATGGTGAGTGACAGTGTGAGGAAGGGAGGGAGGGAGGGAGAGAAGGAGGGAGGGAGGGAGGGAGGGATAGAAAGGAGAAGTGGGTAGTCAACGCAAGCATTGAGGTGAGTTATAGCGATAAAGTGGCAAAAAGCATGCGCTGTGTGCTGTTAGTGGAGAGGAGAGGTAAAATGCAATGCGATGGAAGCAGTAAGGAGTGAAGTCTACAAAGCAGAAGTGCACTGAAGTTGGAGTGAATGTGTGAACAAAGGCGGTTCTAGTGGATGAGAGGTACATTCGAAGTCCTAGTGCCGTTTGTTCCCTTCCCAAGTGAGCACTTCGGCGGGTGACACAACCACCGCACTCTTTACACCACACCATGCTGATTGTAGACTTCTACTGCCACAATCACGTTGACACCCCATGAAGTGGTGTGGATGCTGTCGATGGCCTTGAAAGACCCACCTTTTAAGTTGCACAGTAACCAGAGTGTTACGCCTCACCGCTCTACTGACGCCATTTCTGTGTGCTGCCAACGAGAACAGTCACTGAGAGAAGCAAGCGAGATGCGCAGCCTGAGCTGCCACACTTTGCGGTAAAAGTGAATGGAGAAATGGATGCCAACTCTTCACCTCTTGCAACACACGACCCTCGTTTGCATCGAATGGAGACGTTATGCTCTAGGAATGCGAAAGCCACAACGACACCGCCTTTTGTGTAGGAATTGGCATTGTTGTAGATCGAACGGGTGGCATCGATGACACATGAGGTGACTTGTTGTAAGCACTCGCTCTTGACCACTGCAACAGTTTCGGCTATCTTCAATTCTGCCTCAATTCTGCAGTAAGAATAGTGTAAAACTGAAGTGGATGGCGACCACCAACCAAATGCCTCTTCATCTCCTACTCTTTCGCCTCATCCTTCTTCCCTTTTCCTCCTGCTCCTCCTACGCGTCCTCAACCACTCTCCTCTACTAGTCCCTTCCTTCTAGCCCCACCCCAAATTCACGATCTCGGTGGCTGCGAGCTTCACGCAGTGCAGGTAACACGGTCAGCGTGGTACGGAAGGCGGACAAAGTACCTCACCAGCGTTTTTGGATCGCCTTGGCATCAATCTCAAGCAGTCGTTTGAAGTGACCGTCCCACTGAGAAGTGGTCGTGCGGACTAATAGTTTGCACGTTCCATCTCCCTCTGAGAAGCAGTGCGGTGGCGCATTCCTTGACACAGTCCTCACACTCATGTCCCTGCTGACAACGAGAAAATGTGACTGATGCAACTTGCCATGCCTAACTCACTCCAAACCACATTGGAATAAGCATTCCTTGCAAAGAAGGTGCTAGAAGCAGTCAGCCTTGTTATCAGGCCTCAGGTGTGCACGATAGACAAAGAGGCGAACGAACACAGCCAACGCATAGAACAGCTTCAGTCGGTTCAATGACCGCAGACCCACCTTCCACACCACACGTCGCAGAAATGAGGTGCCAACGAAGGACGACTCAAGAGACCTTGACTCTGACACAATTACTCTCCTCTGTCATTTCAACTGAAAAATCCGAGACCGTCATTCGCTGCCATTCTGACGAGAATGCGGTGGTGCATACAAATCGTGGAGACAGAAACCCGAGAGTCCATGCAGGATCAACAGTTTGACGAGATAGAAATCTTCTGCCAGCTCGGAGTAGTAAAGACAGGCATTAAATCGTTCAATGGTTGAAATCAATCCAGCTTCATGATTGGCCCAAGATTTGAAATGCACACCATGTCTACGTCGATGCATCATTTTCCTTGCAGGTTGATGCACCCAGTTAATAATGGCATTTTAGTTTGTGGAGTCAGCATCTGTTCGTCGATGGAAAGGTTGCCAGAGAGGATTTGCTTCCACTATTGGTCCACCTCCTGGTAGCCGGCCATGAAGTTCCGCATCCTGCAGTGTGTGACCCCTCCTACTGATGCGGCAGACACCGACTTTGGAGTCAGTCCTACTCAACTCGACATCGTGCATTTCATGCTTCGCCTCGCAATGTTGCATTTTAAGGCCACGCAGTCCGAATGATGTTTCTTTGGGCAACTGATCCTCACCATAGTCCACACATCCAACTGCATACCCATGAGACGCTGGTCTAGGAGTGACGCATGCACAGCAGTGTTGCCAAGTCATCTGCGAAGTTACAGTCGGAGGAGGAGGAAGAGGCCAGAGGACGCGCATCGTCGAGGTGCACAACAAGTCTAGGCGAGGCAGACATGATACTATCACATGTGTTACAATCCTCCATTGATTGAAAACGAGCCATGCGACGTGCGAATTGAGGAGCGTCGCAGAGACCTGTTTGAGGCTTTTCGCTGTGAACCACTGCAGTTGTCAAATGTGATACCACATTGGCGGCAATTTGAATGCTTATCAGAGACTGGATTCACTATGCCAAAGCAATTTAACATGGAGATTATGGGCTGTGAGACAAGTCAAACATGTGAGGGAGGTGTATGATTGAGTGAGGGAGGGTGTCGGCAGTACAAAGAGGGCGACGCATCTACCAAAGAATTCACAACGCCACGGCTACTACGGATGTACACATCTTATTGCTTCATCCCTTGGTTCGGTTCTTAAACGTGCCACTGAATTGCGCTGGCCAATCGGATTGACTGCCACAGCAGCCACCGTCGCACGACTGGCTGAAGACAGTGGGCATTACCTCGTATTTCGTCATGCCTGCTTACGACATGGTTGGCAAGGCGTGCGCCACATATAACGTGGTTGCACATGCTTTTGCTTCACAAAGTCAGCATCTATGTGGTGCCACAATCAGCACACTTCATCATGCTGACACTCACCCAGGGTAACGAACTGCCTGTCATCGTGGGTCTTATGAATGCTTCCACTGATGTCTGCCTGTTCGGCGGCATTAGTCAAAGGAGAAGCAAAGGCTGCCGCAGGGTGGACGAGAGGAAGGTGCAAGGCAGAAGGTGGCATACCACCCGCAGAGTAATGGCACTACTTCCTGCTCTTCTTTCAGAAGTGGTCATAAGGCAGTTGTGCGGGGAAGAGGCCTTGCCCCTTTAGCCCTCTTACGACCTATCGAAATTCTGCCTTCCAGTGCTGCAATTGTCCAGCACACCATGCACGCCCGCATATATGCTTGCTTGAGGTGGCTTTTCAGCGGACAGAAGTGGAGTGGAGCAAAGGCTGAGGGGGCGGGATTGCAGACCAAACGTGCACAAACTGAATGTGCTCAATAGTCGATGCTTTGTGATTTCCTGACGTCCTCCCACCCTCGTCTTGTCACTTGCAACAGTCAGGCTTATCTGCCTTGCAGGGAGGATCAGGCAGTGCGCTTCTTCCTTCACCCACCCGTTGACGGTGTTTTCCTCCCCTCCACACATTTTACTACCCTCCATTTCACTCCTCACGCACCGAAACCTATCACAGTGCTCCATCGCATTCCCCATTCCGCGAGTCTTGCCTTGTGGTTCCCGTGAAGTAGGGCGTGGGACATTCTGCCTTAGGCTTGAAAAGCCAAGCCGCATCCCACCAGTGGCACGAATTGGTCTTGCTCAATGACGCAGTGACTGCTTTCGTGCTGGCAGAATACTCAGAGGCACAGTTCACTGTTTAGCTGGTCTACTAAATGGGTCAGAGACATGTGGAATGTAGATCACAAACTTGTCCAACTGCATGCGCACCGTCAGCAGACGATCTTGACAATTGACGCTGACAGTCACCAACGATGGTGTTTGTACCTCCTCTCACTCCACAGGTTGACAGTCATATGCGGCGCGGAGGATAAACGCGCCCATGGGAGAGTGCAATGCAAGTTGCGTCTTCGTGTTAAGGGCCTTGAAGAGCGAGGGACGCGGGTGTTACTGGGACGAGGGGATTTGGTCGATGCTTATCTTAATGGCGTATATTTCTTACCACAGCATAGGGACTAGTGCATTGATGCGATTAATCCCAGCCCTACCACACCATTCGGAGGCACGACATTGGGCATGCCTGGTGGAATGTCCATGATGGGCCCACTCACATGGCGCCAGCCTCTCCCAGACGTCGTATCTGGTTCTGCCACCTCACATCCACTCGCAAACAACAGCACAGTCCCTCCCAACCACGTTCTCCTGCTGCAGGCTGAGACAGCTCGCTACTGTGCGCCTCCAGACGCATGCAAGCAGCAATTGCTTAGCTCTGTGGTCCTGCTCCACTCACTATACTACTCCATTCGTGTTCCCGCACCTGTGCTGATCACACGCATTCCCACATCAGTTGCGTCACTCAACCATTGCGCATCATTCTCAAGTTCGCACTTTGCATTCCATCAATCATCCCCCATCGCTGTGATGGTACTGCTCAACTTTCCATCGACTGTGATGTGGCCCAATGTATGACTGAAAAATCAAGGCAAAAACAGAATGCAAGTTGAGAGACTTCTACGCCCCCTGCAACAGACACATTCACCTCCTGCCTGCAAGGACACAAAGCTCAGATTGAGTGTTGCAAGACAACAATCGTAGTGGAGGAGGGGAACGAGATGAGCTTCTGCAAGGCACTGTGGACCTGGCAGCTGGCTACGACAATACACCCACTGCTGCCAGACTGTCGTAAGTAGCAACGATGCAGATTCCCCAGTCCAGATGCATAAGGGGGAGTTGGACAATCGTGTTGCTGCTGTTCCACACTCTGGCATACCACCAGCGATGATGTCAGACGTCTGCAGGTGAGTAGTGCTTCGTCACACTCCACAGTCCATCACGCCTTCATCACTCATGACTGTGCATGGGTTGTGCATTCTCGCGGCTATCGAGAGTACTTGGAGAAGAAATGAGCTTAGGCCGACTTATTTAAGGGTGCTGAGATAGTCTCAACATAACTAAAGTGGGAAAGAATGAGGGGTTGCAGTGGAGGAGGACTGGGTGGGGTGATGACTGGTGGTTTAGTGGGCGTGTGAATAAGTTGATGTGGGAAGGGAAGCACCAATTTGTAAGCGCACGTTTCGAATCAACAACTCCTCTGCCTATTTCACGTCCACGTTTAACCTACTTGTACCAATCATGCATGCCACTTGCGGTGTTGACAGCAACACTCTACACACTGACAACGATCATGTCGGAGCGAATGCGCATTCCGTTTGTCTGTGGCCACGCGACAGTACTGCTTTACCGTTTGTGTTGGAATCGAGCTACAGTAGCATGCTGGTCGGTGTGATGGTTGTGTTTGCCCTTTGCCCTTCCCCTCCACCCCTTCCGACTTGCCCTTCCCTCTTACTCCGCAGCACTTTCAAATTCGCAACTACTTGCTCCAAGAGGTTGCAAAATCGCCGACTTCTCGGATGCACTTTGGGTTGTGTCAAGTGCTCTTGTGTCCTCGTCTCTCCCACAGCACAGTCAAAACGGTGGGTAGTGTGGCAGCAGGCTGAGACAATGAGAAGTACTTTCCAATCTCCATTTGCAAATGACCTTGAGTAGTACCTGCATCTGTGCATCTTCCAGTCGGCGCCATGTGTCAGGATTCTATTCGTTCTGCCCAAACAAGACACACGCCAAACTTGTGTACCGAACATTTGCATCATTCCTCAGCAGTGCTATTTGAGAGCAGAGGACTTACGTAAAAAGAGTTACTTTGCTGACGACATCCGATTGTCTGCGTAGTTCTACACAGAGTGAAGGAGAGCATCGCACTCGCACAACTGTGAGATGCTGGATGCTCTTCGAACGGTGGTGCTATGTGTGGCACAGAATCTCGTCCCTTTCCCCATTTCACCTCATTCCAGCCCACTTAAGCTTACACTCGTCATTTGGACTGTTCCAATCTGCTCATCCCATTACAAAAATGGTGATCTGCTGTCCATTAAAGAGTGAACAGCTCAACTCTCTAATCCACCACTCAACACTAATCAAGCAAACTCAACCACAAGTGAGTATGGAGGGATTGGAGCTCGAGTGAGAGAAGTGAGACAATTTTGAATGGAAGAAGGACAGTTGAGGTGTGTCGAGGTGTGCGACTGTCAGACATTTCCTGCATCGAAAGGCAACGCATCTCTCCTCGATGGTGGTGGTGATGACAGTGGCAATTGATGAGAGGTTAAGCGATCAAAGAGGCGTGCTGTTGACTGAACAGGATTTGGATGCGGAGACAATCGCTGTTATCAACGTCAATGGAGGATGATGAAAAGAAAGAGCAGGAGGAGGAGGAGGAGGAGGAGGAAGAGGAGGAGAGGGAGGAGGCACGTTAATTGGGGAAGTGACATACAAGCACCTGCATTTGCATCGGATGAACACCAACAAGGAAGACGTTGGATGCGGAGGGGAGAAGGAATAAAGTGCAAATCTCAAACCACGCAGTTAGTGCGACTGAATGCACCTCATCAGCTTGTTTTGTATTGCGCTGTGTGTTGGTTGGTTAATGACTCGACGATATGTGGAATGACCTGCACCGAGTCTAATGATACCGTCGAAGAGAGACAAGTGGTGCCTCACCACTATCTTTCGTACTGTTGTAGCTTTCCTCTTCCAGTGGTGGCTCTCCTTGGTTTGACCTTCCTAAGTTGGCGTATTTTGGAGGACACGCATGCGAAATGCTGCACATCCCATGGAACCACCTGACACGGATTCAATTCAGTTATCAATTGCAGCGACTGCGAGTGAGGGTGGAGTGCAATGATGAATTCAAGTGCTATCCCTTCTACTGTAAATAGCGCGTCTTCCCATTCTTCTGCATT